GACTACTGAAATAGCCTCCAAATGGGTCCCTTTGCCTTGCTCGTCCTTCTATCTCACCAGGAATGCAGCTTCCACCTAGTTGCCAAAGGGATATCCTTAAAGCACAGGTCTGTCCTTGGCTCTTCTCAGTGGTAGGATGTCAACGTTTGGCACTTGCGAGTATCTTTTTGTTCTGCAAACCATACATGTAAAGCCTCTTACCAATTTCTTAGCTGAGAAAATAGATGTTATCCAAAACAATGTTATGGCAAGTATAAGATTTATGTCATAAATATATTAAAATGAAAGGGTTTTTTGTTCTTTTGATAAGAAAAATTACTCCAATTGCCAACTTTTTTTGGGAATAATTTTAGTTTATGATATTAAAATAGTTTAATGAGATAATACATGCTGCAAGGTAGGAAGGGAGCAATTTTACTTATGGGGATAGCTGATTTCAAATATAGCTTTTTAAATTCTCTTTCTTTAAAGAAGGAATAGTTTTGTTATTGGATTCTATTCCTCCCCTCTCATATTTCTCTCACTCCTCCAAAGCACAATTTGCCCATTTAACATGATCTATAAATTAGTTGATTTCTTTTGAATGCTTCTTCTTTTCTCCCCTATTCCAATAGGCATTTACTCTAAAAAAATATTAGTATCTTTCATTTCTATATCACTTTCTTTTCTGAATATATTCTTCTATCTCCTCAATTCTTCATCAAGCCAACCTCGAAACAAGAAATAGGAAAAGAAAGATTGAATATTAAAAAGATTAAAAAAAACCCAAGCCTGAAAATATAGGTTTTCCACACTCAGAGTCTCCCCAACCTCTGCAAAGAAGGGAGGGAGGTACTCTTTCTCAAGTCTTTTTTTCTGGGCTAAGTTTCTTGAGCCTTAATTCTCATAATTCTCATAATTATTTCAATTATTCAGTGAATTGAATGCCTTTTCACCAACCTTACTTCTTACATTTTTTTCTTTGAGAATTCACAGATCAAGAAATGAGGGACCAAGTATCAGTTCCAGTAGGACAGCTGGTATGAGTAGGCAGCTGCCTATACACGGTGATTGGATTGGTCCCGAGGAGACCTCCTTATGCAAAAATCCCTCCTTAACTTGTCATGGTGCCTGAAATTCTATCAAAAGAGACTGAGTCCTTTGAGTCCTGAAGGCCTTTTACCCCAAATCTACAAGAATCCTCTATTTGCTTTGAGGGGTTCTAGATATTCTCTGACAAAGAATGGCAGCCCACACAGTATACTGTACAAAAGAAACACATTTACTACATTTAGTATTCAAGAAGCATCAAGGGGTTGGATGCTGAATGCAAATGGTAAGAAATGAGTGGAAGGTGGGCACTGTTGGTAGCAGGGGCTGCTGGCCTGAGGGGTGTGAAGGGGAAAGGGGGACTTGTCATTCTACTGTGTAATCAGTTTTGTTTTAAAAAGAGACTATGTGACTTATTTTTTTATTGAAATGAATTATTTTTTAATTTATTTCTTCCATATAAGAAACATGTCTCCAAAACATATACTTGGATGCCCATCAATTGGGGAATGGTTGAAGAAGTTGTGGTATTTGAATGTAATGGAATACTATTGTGCTATAAGAAATGATGAGCAGGCAGATTTCAGAAAAACCTGGAAAGACTTACATGAACTGATGCTGAGTGAAATGAACAGAACCAGAACATTGTACATAGTAACAGCCACACTGTGGGATGACTGACTGTGATAGACTTGGCTCTTCACAGCAATGCAAGGATCTAAGACATCTCCAAAAGACTCATCATGGAAATTGCTATCTACATCTAGAGAAAGAACTATGGAGTCTGAATGCAGATGGAAGCAGACTATTTGCTCTCCTTTTCCTTTGTTCTTTTGTTTTATTGCCTCATTTTCTTGGTTCCTCGCATTAGTTCTAATTATTCTTTACATCATGATTAATGGGAAAATATGCTTAATATGAGTAGAGCCTATATCAGATTGTATACTGTCTTGGGGGGGTGAAAGGAGAGGGAGGGGGAGAAAATTTAAAACTCAAAATCTTATGGAAGTGAACGTTGAAAACTAAAAATAAATTATCAAGAAAAAAACATACACTTGAAGAATTTACTTACTTTTCTTCTTTGCAGAAGTGGAGGGCTAAGAGGTGTGGAAAGTGGTATATACAATCAAGGGCTCGAGGGGTATATAGTAGCAAGCTGCATCGCAAGTGGAAGACAGACTTTCAGTATGTTTCTCTAGAATGAATCACTCATATGGGACAGTTTCCTGGGGAAACTATGTCCTGGAGAAAGTGGCTTTCATATAAGGTCCTAGAAAGAACCTGGCATCCCTCTTGGCCTTATAATATACTAACCCCCCAGATCATTCCAGAACAAGGAGTCGTATTAGAATAGATGAGTCCAACATGGGACATATGTAGACTGATATCATAATTAAGGCTATGTGATTTGAAAAATATTCATGAATCCCAGATCATACCATTATGGCCCTCCCTGAGAACACAGCCCTCTTCTTATTTCTAGGCCATCTGAAATCAAACTTATTAATTGGGATGCAGTTTAAGTGGAAAGAGTGGTAAGCTTTAGATAGATAGATAGCCAAATAAATAGTGCATTTTATTAACTGCTTAGTCTGGCCTAGGCACTTCATGAAACCTTAATTCACCAATGAAACCTTGGGCAAGTTCCTTTGCTGCCCTGGATTGTAGTTTCCGTATCTATAAAACAAAGGGACCAGGCTGGACAATTCCAAGCTCCCTTCTAGCTCCAGATCTCTGGTCCCGTGGTCTGTGAAATACAGGCATTGAACTCAAGGACCTCCAATGTCCCAACTCACTCTAGATTCAGGATCCCTCTCTTGTCCTGTGTATGCTGTCACTCCTTGCCAACAAGAAGTCAAATTTAATTATCTAGAATAACAGACAGAGGCCAGGAGAAAAATTCCATCTTCAGAACAAAAGCAAGCATTACTTTGGGGGTTATACATCCCTCATGATCTGCTGTATTGGAAGAGAGATCACAAAAACATGAGGGGCCAATCACTCACTACTGGGAGCAAAAGGCCCTTTTATTTGGTATGTGAAAGTGGAGGCTACCTGGCTTGCCTGGCGACATGCAAGGGCAAAGGAACAGGAACAACAGAGGAAGGGCTGGCGGCTACAGCCCACTCACTCTCCTATCCCTCCTTGACAGTGGCTACAAGTGATGCTTAGAGATTAGGACAGGCCACCAACCCTCTCATCCTCGGGCTGGGACCAACCCTCCCAAGTTGAACTGGGAAAGGGACAGGGAACGTTGCCAGCTTGTGGGCAGAGTGGCCTTCAGACCTTGGCAAGGAGAGGGAGTCCATGAGAGCCTATCCGCAGGTTGCTCCCAGCCTGGTGATGCCCTAAGCTCTCCCTGGCCTCCTGGGGCCACGCCTGGGCCGCTCTTTGCTCAGATGAGTTGGGGTCACAGCATGTCCAGGATCAGAGAAGTTCAGGTCGATCAATTAATTTGCTAATTATTTAACAAACATTTATTAACAGTCTATCATGTCCTAGGGATACAAAAAAAACCCTAAAAAACTCCGGAGTCCCATTGCCAAGGAACCTATTGAGAGGACGTCTGAAGGGGGTGACAGCGAGGAAGGGTCTTGCTCTTTGTGTGACTGGTTTCCCACGGTGGAGGTCACAGGCAGGGAGTGACAAACCAGCAGGAACCCCAAAGTTTTCTCTCTCCCCCCTCCACTCACTGACCACGTGTACATTACATCGGGGAAACCTCTCACAGCGTCCACTCGCGGGCCGTGGTGCCGACTGTGAATGGGGCGACCCCTGCCCAGAGCTCCGCCAGACGTGTTTGTTAAAAGAGCGAGGGGCAGCGGGGTCAGAGGGCATCGGCGGCTTCGGCCACGCTCAGTCCAGTCTATTTGTCTCCCCCCCACCACCGTACTTGGGGAGGAGAGGGGTATCGGCGAATTTGGAAACACCCCTCTCTGGTTTTGCGCCCCGCTCCCCAGCCAGGGAGCAGAGCCGGTGGGGTGCCCGAAGCACCCCTCGTTAAAAGCATGTCCAGCATCCCAGCCCAGGCAATAAAAAAAAAAAAAAAAAAAAAAAGCCTTGACCCCGACGTGATTCGAACACGCAGCCTTCTGATCTGGAGTCAGACGCGCTACCGTTGCGCCACGAGGTCCTGCTGGGCTCTGGCGCCCGCGGGCTCTTAGAGCCTCGCCGCCCCGCCCCGCCTGGCCGCTCCCACTCCCGCCCCGCCCTCGCGCCTGCTCAGTGCGCGTCGGCTCCCTCGCTATCCCGCTCTCCGTCCGCCAGCCTAGGCGGGGACGCTGAGTAGGGCCCGCTGCTCCCGCTCTTTCTTGGCCTGGCCGCGGGGGCTCCCGGGCCCCGGCCCTAGCGTCTCACTTCCTCAGCCGGGGGCGGCGGAACAGAGAGAGACACGTTCCCGCCCTCCACTCTCCGCGAAAGGGAGGTGGCTTCTGGCGCTTCCCGCCCAGGCGAAGCGCGCACCCGGGGCTCCCGCCCCGCCCTTCCCCGTGGTGCGCGCGCACCCCCCTCCCGGCCCGCGCCTCGGTACCCGGCTTTGTACTGGTTACTGCGGTGGCCGCGCGAGACCCAGAAAAGCACCATTCCCAGAGCTGCCTGTGCCCCGACCCCCATGACCCGCCCCCTTCTGTATAAGGGCGGCGGGCGCCCGCGGCCTCCATCTCACTGACTTATACACACAGGCCCCCAGACTTATCACTGTTGGTGCCCAGTTTGGTACCTTTTCCTAGAAACTAAATTTAAATCAGTTTAGCAAAAATTACGTTTTATTCTCCCCGTCGGGGAATTGAACCCCGGTCTCCCGCGTGACAGGCGGGGATACTAACCACTATACTAACGAGGAGCTGGTGCTGTTGTTCCTCTTCTCAGCATAGTTAAAGGCTGCGCCAGGCCTTTCCTGCCCCGCCCCCCCACCGGAAGTTACGGCCAGGCGCAGCCCTGCTTCCGGCACATTTAGGCCTTCGAAGGACGCCATGCTGCTGCTCAAGGACGCCATGGTGGCTCCGAGGAGCGCCGTGGTGGCGCGACTTCTCCGGGGCCTGGGTGCCCCGGCGCAGGCCCGAGGCCTGGCGGGGCCGGAGCCGCAGCAGGGCAGCGGCGGCGGCAGCAATCCCGACACCTACGACGTGGTGGTGGTGGGCGCGGGCATCCTGGGCCTGGCCACGGCCCGGACCCTGCTCCTCCGGCGGCCGCGCCTCCGCGTGGCCGTGCTGGAGAAGGAGGCGGGCGTGGCTCAACACCAGACGGGCCACAACAGCGGCGTCATCCACAGTGGCATCTACTACACGCCGGGTTCGCTGAAGGCCCAGCTGTGCGTGCGCGGCGCCGGCCTCCTCTACGCCTACTGCGACCAGCGCGGCCTCCCATACCGGCGCTGCGGCAAGCTCGTGGTGGCCGTGGAGCGGGCCGAACTCCCCCGCCTGCGTGCCCTGTATGAGCGCGGCCTGCAGAACCACGTGTGCGGCCTGCGCCTGTTGCAGCCGCCCGACATCCGGGCCCGGGAGCCGCACTGCCGCGGCCTGCTGGCGCTCGAGTGCCCCTCCACGGGCATCGTGGATTACACGCGCGTGGCCGCCGCCTTCGCCGAGGACTTCCAGGAGGCCGGCGGCTCCCTCTTCACCCGCTTCGAAGTGAGCGCCGTGCAACTGGCGCCCGACCTGCCCGGGGCCCCCATCGTGCTGCGCAGCGCCCGCGGAGCCCACGTGCACGGGAGGTTCGTGGTTACGTGCGCCGGCCTGCACTCGGACCGCGTGTCCCAGCTGAGCGGCTGCAGCCCACAGCCGGTCATCGTGCCCTTCCGCGGAGACTACCTGCTGCTCCAGCCCGACAGGACCCACCTGGTGCGGGGCAACATTTACCCCGTCCCCAACCCCGACTTCCCCTTCCTGGGCGTCCACTTCACGCCCAGGATGGACGGCAGCGTCTGGCTCGGACCGAACGCCGTCCTGGCCTTTAAGCGCGAGGGCTACGGCCTGCTGGACTTCTCTGCGCAGGACACGTGGGACTCGCTCCGAAACAGCGGCCTGGTCAGGCTGGCCCTCGGCAACGTCTCCTTTGGCCTGGGCGAGATGTACCGAGCCTTCTTCCTCCCCGCCACCATCAAGCAGCTGCAGAAGTTCATCCCCGAAATCACCATCAGGGACGTGGTCAGGGGCCCCTCTGGAGTCCGAGCCCAGGCCCTGGACAACCTCGGAAACCTCGTGGAGGACTTTGTATTCGATGGAGGCGCAGGGGTGCTGGGAACCCGCATTCTCCACGTGAGAAACGCGCCATCCCCCGCTGCCACCGCCTCCCTGGCCATCTCCGAAGTGATTGCTGATGAAGTGGAACAGAGATTTAAATTATAAACCGTGTAGTTTTTTTTTTTTTCATGACAATTCAGTGAAATGACTGGACTAAGTTATTCTGAAGAAAGAATTGGTAGTGATATTAAGTATACAGAAAACACTAAAATGTGAATTGTGCACTGTGAAAGTATTTTATAAAATAAAAACCTATGATCCTTTTAAAGAATTTGCATGTGTATATAAAAGTGGACACTTTTGGCAGTTATGAAATTGACAGTGATTACTATGCAATTGTTTAAATAAGTGATCAATTGATTTGATTACTGTGTAAAGGCACTGTGCTAAGTACTGAGGATACAAAAAAAAAGACTACAGTCCCTGCCCTCAAGGAGCTCATATTCTGTTGGGGAAAGACGTGTAAATAACTACAGAGTAGATGGAAGGTAACCTGAGAGATTCTGGGTCTGGGATAGGTCTCCAGCATAAGGTGGCATTGAGCTGAGGCCCGAAGGAAGCCAAGGCCTCTCAGAGTTAGGAGTGAAGGGCAATGGCTAATGTAAAGGTGAGGAGTGGGGAGCTACACTGAGCTCTGATGGAGTAGTAGGTAGGCCAGGGTAGCCCAGTCATGGGAAAGAGCCAGTGTTGGGAGAAGGGTTAAGTGCAAGAAGACTAGGAAGGTAGGAAAGGGCTAGGTTATGAAGAGTTTTAGATGCCAAACAGAAGGGAGCCAAAAGAGTTTATTGAATGGATGGAGGTCGCAGGGAGACCTATGCTTCAAAAAAGTCACTGGCTGCTGGAGGGTGGTTTGGAGTGAGGAGAAACTTTAGACAGGGTGGCTATTTAGGAGGCAATTGCAATAATCCAGGTGACCACAGTGGTGGCAGTTTATGGAGGAAAGGAGATGGGTGCAAGAGATGTTATGAAGGTAGAAACAACAATATGTGTCAACAGGTTGCAAATACGGAGTGAGTCAAATATGACACCTAGGTTGTGAGCCTGGATAGTGCCCTCAGAAGCAGAAATAGGAAAGTTTGAAAGAGGTGAAGGTTTGGAGGAGACGGAAAATAAGCTGTTTTGGACCTGTTGAACTTGAAATGCACCCATTAGGCCATGCTATTGGAATCACATACAGATGGTTCTCTTTTTACGTAAGTGGATCATTCTGTAGACCTCCGCTTAAAGCAATTTTTATGTAATTTGAAATTGCTATCAGAAGTGGAGGAAGGAGGGAAGCAGGCGAGGGGAGCACTCACCCATAGAGGGAGGGTGCCAGCACATGGTTCAAGGAACCATAGGGGCTGAGGACAGAATCCAGAGCAAAAGGAACACGGGGGCCAGGGATAGCTACATGGTACTGCAACACAGAGGGACAAAAGACAGGCACTCAGGGGCCAGACACATGAGCAGAGTGGTGCAAAGGTCTCCTCTCTTGGTGGTCTTAAACCAACCCTCCCACTACTCTATCTGGCAGTGATCTCTGCCTCTCATCACTTTTTCAGGGGAGGGAGGAGCCTGAGTGCCTAGGGGAAGGGTTAGTGCAGAACAGAAGGGAAGGAGGAGAGGAAAAGCACAATACTATAAAATAAACATAAGTGTTTTTTGGGAATGCAGATGCTTTTCAGAATTCTTTATGTGTGTAATGTGAATTTATGAGACATGAGAACCGTGTATATGCATATGTATTATTCACATGTGTACATAATACTAATAGGCTTCAGGCCCTTCCCTGGTGACAGTGGTGTACGAGGGGAGAAGGGGGTGGAAGAGACTAAGAGTTAGGTTACTATTTCAGTATCTTCAGTGGATTCAAAGTCTTTTCAGTGTGGGCCCTGGCTTCAACAATACATGTACCTCATCCGTGCCCTCTCTTCCCTTGTACCTCTTGTCCACGTCCTCCCACAGAGGACTTGCCTTCAGGTGGTGAAGTGGAAAGAACAGTGGATCTGGAGTTGCACCTGAGTTCACCCTGACTCAGACACTTACTAGTTGTGTGACAAATCACTTAATCTCTCAGCCTCATTTTTTTCATCTATAAAATGGGGATAATAATGCTTCCCGCTCCCCAGATACACGGAAGGCCTTTCTCTAAGTTCTTTTAGAGGGTAATGTGAAATACTAGAGATAGGGCTACATGAGAATTATGTTACCATTTGAAAAAAAGAAACAGGGGTTGGATAACTTGGCATATCACCAGCAAGAAAGTTATCATTTTCTCCCTGGAGTAGGGCTGTTGAGCTTCCATCATGTGCCTACCATATGTCGGGTGTATTCAGATCTGCCTCGTATTTCAATGCCCTTTTCTGCTTTTGACCTTGTCAAGAAATAAAATGGTCCAGTATCTGAGTCCAGTTAGACACATCCCTCTGAATGCAGTTAAAGTAAGTCAACATACCATCTTCCTGTTGTCCTTCTATATTCAGAGCACCATGGGGAGACAAAAGAAGTCATCGTAAGACAAACGTCTTGGAAAAGCAAATAGATGGAAAGTTAATACCAATTTAAACAACAGGTCATTGATATGTCACAAGATAGTATGTGACTAATTATAAAATTAATTCATTGTACTATTAGAGTTCGGAGGAGGGAGCGAGCTTTCTTTTGGGATGATCAAGATAGGGGAGAGAGAAGTAGACTTTATGTTAGATTGGATTTCATGCAGTTCACTAAACTGGAGGATAGTGATCCCCTCAACAGTAATAGGAAAGTTCAGAAGATGGGAGAGCTAAGCTCTGTTTTGGATATGAGTCTGAGATGCATGTATTAGCCCATGTTTATATTGATTACATTAATGTGTAGGTAACAATACAAAGGGCCCACCTTCTCCAGTAACAGTGATGGAAAACGGTAGTGGAAATCTTGGAGATACCAACTTTCCCAAACCCCCTCATTTTACAAATAAGGAAATTGGGACTCTCAGGCATCAAGTGACTTGTTATCAATACATTTAGAGTAGAAGAGACTTTTAAAGGCCATTTAATCTGACACTCTCTCCCCACCTTACTTTACAGACCAGGAAACAGGCCCAAAGTGGGAGAGCTGGATTTGAATCCAGGTCCTCTGACTCCATATACCAACAAACATGTTTTCCATTAGATCATGAGGATTTATTCAGCACCTACTTTGAGCAAGATACTTCTAGGGCGTTGAGGACCCAATTATTATTTTTTTGTTTGTTTGTTTTTGGCTAGGCAATGGGTTTAAGTGACTTGCCCACACAGCTAATAAGTATCTGAAATTAGATTTTAACTCTGGTTTTTCTAACTCCAGGCCCACCTCACTACCTAACTGGCTCTAAAGTATAAAACTGGGTAGAGAGCCGTGGAGACAGAGGTGAGATTAAGGTGGACAATTTGAGGAGGAAGAAACACCCAAATTCAGAGGTGGGGGTGGGGGAGTAGGGAAACTCTGGAAAGGCTTGAGACCATGTCCTATATTCTGCAGACTAAGAACTGGCAACCATCATGAAGATATATGTGGAAGCATGATCTCCAACACCCTCCAGGGGACCTGAGAAGGGGCGTGCAGCAGCAGCAGCCAGGGAACACGGAGATCGCCCACCTGTTACTCTTCTTCCTAAAAAGGAAGGGGAAGGAGAGACTAGTTGGGTTTAGGACTGGGGGATGAAACAAATCCTCCACCATCAGGCAGTGATAGCCTTAGTTGGGATATCTATCGCACAGTCTCCGAGGACACAAAGCTATATTTAGAGGAAAAATAACACGAAGGCAATTAGGAGAAGAAGGTCGTCTTACATTTGTGTTTGCTGATGTTCCTGAGCTTACACTTCTGTGTTGCTTTAAGAGTTACAAAAGGTTTTCTTCACTGGAATCCGGTGGGGATAGGCAGGGCAAATATCAGCCTCAACTGACTGAGGATGCTGACTTACCCAGCTGGTAAATTGTGTGTGTGTGTGTGTGTGTGTGTGTGTGTGTGTGTGTTTGCGGGGAGGGGACCTTAAGTTTATAGATTTAGAGTCAGAAGGGACATAAGAGATCCAATCATTTCCTCCGTCCTCCTCCAGAAGCATGGTATAGAGGAAAGAGCATTGGCTCCTACATCTGAGTTGCCTCCATGCTTTCCCTTTCAAATGCCACCTTTGACACTTACTGCCCACATGACCTGGGATAAGTCACAATCTCTCAGGACCACACTTTCCTTTCTGTGACAGGTCATCTAATCCAGCTCCTCAGGATCAAAGAGATGAGGTGACTAGCATATAGGGGTAGGGTAGGGAGATGGATGGGGAGAGGACAGATCATATGGGCAGTAAGTAGCAGAGCAGGAATTTGAACTCAGGCCCTGTGACTCCAAGATGAGGTCTCTTTCCACAGCACCACACAACCTCTACTGCAGGAGAGGGTTAAGGCCCAGAGATATTGAGAGCTTTACCTAGGATCACACAAGTACCAAGAAGTAGGGTCAGTATTTGAACCACCCCTCCCCCTTCCCTGATTTTAAATTCAGTGCTTTTTCATCATAGGCTTCTGAAGTCCGAGGAGCGAGTGTTATCGCCTCCATTATATAAATGAGCAAACTAAAACATATGGAGGTCACATAACATTAAAAATAAAGGATGTTTTGGAAAGACACATCAACTGATGCACAGGGATGTGAGCAGAACCAGGAGAATGTTGTACACAGTAACAGCAATATTCTGTGATGAAGAACTATGAATAACTCAGCTCTTCTGAGCAATATACCATGATCTAAGACAATCCCAAAGGACTCATGATGAAACATGCTATCCACTTCCAGAGAAAGAATGGATATCATCTGAATACAGACTGAAGCATACTATTTTTTGCTTTCTTTCATTTTTTTTTGTTTGTTGAGTCTTCTCCAGTGTGGAAATGTTTTACATGATTGCATATGTATAACCTATATCAGATTGCTTACCATTTCAGGGAGTGGGGAAAGGAAGGAGGGAGGGTTGGACAGAATTTGGAATTCAAAATTTTAAAAAATAACAAATGTTAAAAATTATTTTGACATGTAATTAGGGAAAAAATAAAATATTAAAAGGAAAAAAATGATGTTTGCATAGCAAACCCCAGAAAGGAATGTTTATTGGATGACTTCCTTATCTTTCCCCTCCTTCTCCTCCTCCTCCTCCTCCTCTTTCTCTCTCTTTTAATTCAATTAACTCATGA